ACAGCTCACAGCAACCTCCAACTCCTGGGCTTAAACGATTCTCTTGCCTCAGCCTCCCAAGTAGCTGGGACTACAGGCGCCCGCCACAATGCCTGGCTATTTCTTTGGTTGTAGTTGTCATTATTTGGCAGGCCCAGGCTGGATTTGAACCCACCAGCCCTGGTGTATGTGGCTGGCGCCTTAGCTGCTTGAGCTACAGGCACCGAGCCTGTTCTGTTTTCTGTAAACATGGGGTCTCAGTATGTTGCCTAAACTGGTCTCTGACTCCTGGCCTCAAGTAATCCTCCCACCTCAGCTTCGAAAAATGCTGGGATTATAGGCATTCTCCACTACTCTAGGGTAGTGTGCCTATTTTCTAGATGAGTTAGCTGAGGCTCAGAGAGGTTAAGGCACTTGGCACTTGTTACCCTGAGTGGCCCCTCCACTTGGCCCCCACAGCTTCAAGGACTGCATCCCATGCTCCTTCCGGAGGCAGATCAGGCAGCACAACATGCTGACGCGCTTGCGCCTGCGGAATGTCTTCCGAAAGTTCATTAAGGCCTTCCAGCCGGGTGTCCTCTCCCAGCAGGTGGTCATGGTCAAATACCTGGCCACACTCGAGCGTCTGGCACCCCGCTTTGGCACGGAGTGTGTGCCCGTGTGCCATCTGAGGTTGCTGACCCAGGCTGAAGTCAAGCCCTACTACAACCTGGATAGCAAGCAGTCCCCTGGGGACCCTAGCCCTGAGTCTGCTGCTGGGCCCTCCACCCACGAGGTGCTGGTTACAGGCACCAGTGGTATCCAATGGCGACCTATACAGACAGAGGTGAGAAGAGCTCCTCTTTCACTGTGGGAATCCAGGTAGAGCTGGGAGGCGGGGTCTCTGCTTATCCTTGAGGGTGGCTGGGTGAGCCCTCTCTCCGCCTGGGTCTTGGCCATTTGTCCCTTGGGGTTTGTTCCTTGGAGAGTGTGCTGGATCTGTCTGCCTCCTGGGACCTGATTTCTGGGGTCTATACCTATGTCTGGGGACCTGGTACTTGGGGTGAGTAGGCCAGGATTCTGCATTCTGCCCTCTTCAGGATTCTGGCTTCCCACATGTGTTATCTCTTGAAGGTGGGTCCTTATCCTGCCTGTGACCCTGGAACTTGTGGGAGGGTGAACTGAGGTGGTGCCTGGCTCCTGTGGCTCCCATCTGAACCCAGAGGAAAAGTGCAAGGGGAATTAATAAGCATCGCTTGCTCTATCCCCCAACCCTACACGCTGATGTTTAGGACTCTAGTGGTAGCAGTGGCAGCCGAGGTAGGAATCCCCGTGCTAGCCGATCTGGGAAGAAAGCCAAGGTACACGAGGCAGGCGAGCTGCCAGCAGATGGACAGCAGGAGCCACAGTGGGCCTACTTCTGCGACTTCCGGGACATCACCCATGTGGTACTGAAAGAGTGCCATGTCAGCATCCATCGGCAGGACAACAAGTGTCTGGTGAGACCCAGGTTAGGGGACTGGGCTAGGGGTCACTCTCACCTGGTACATCTGCCTGACCTGATGTGCCCCTGACCTGCAGGACCTGATCCTGCCTTCCCAGGCAGTGGCCCTGTCCTTCGTGTCGCTGGTGGATGGGTATTTCCGCCTAACAGCTGACTCCAGCCATTACCTGTGTCACGAGGTGGCCCCTCCACGGCTGGTGATGAGCATTCAGGACGGTATCCATGGCCCTCTGCTGTGAGTGGCGGGGGCCCCCTAGGGTACCTGTGAGTGGGGGGCATTGTGGCACCAAGGTTGCCAACTAGACTGGGAGCATCATGGGCTGTGTGTGTGCATATATGTGATGTGTGCACGTGTGAGTAGATGCATGCATGTGTGCATTTGTATGTATGTGTGAGTGCATTGTGTGTATGCATGCCTTTCTGTGTGTGGATGTGCAAATCAGTGTACATGGGTCAGTGTGTGTTTGTGTGAGTGCACATGCATTTATGAGAATGTGTGCACATGTGTGTATGCACCCATGTATTTATAAGTGTGAGTACTGTTTGCCCATGTGTGTGCATGTGTGTATGACCACACATATCTATGCACTATGTTGCTCTGATGCTGGTGACCATTCAGGGTGTGCAGGACACTCCCACCTCTGCAGCGGGAACTGTGCTTGAAATTTTTTTTTTTTTTTTTGGTACAGAGTCTCACTCTGTTGCCTTAAGTAGAGTGCTATGGTATCATAGCTCACAGCAACCTCAAATTCCTGGGCTCAAGTGATCCTCTTGCCTAGGCTTTTGGAGTACCTGGGACTACAGGCATGAACTGCAACATCTGGCTAATTTTTCCTTTTTTTTTCAGTAGAGACAGAGTCTCACTCTTGCTCAGGCTGGTCTTGAACTGAACTCACGCAATCCACCTGCCTTAGCCTCCCAGAGTGCTAGGACTACAGGCATGAGCCACTACTTGGCTACTGGCAATTTTTGTATCTGTCTCAGCAGTTTTGTTTGTGACTTATGAGGCCAGGTGAGGAGTCTATCCATGCCTGTGAAGTCGTCTTGTGTGGAGGTGTGTGCAGCCATCCAGGGTGCTGCCAGGTCATGGTTTGTGATTATGTGCTTGTCTGATCATCAGCCTTGTGTCTGGCTGTCTCTAGTTCTACCTGTGACTATAGAGTGAGGTATAGGAGGAAGTGGCTGCTTCACTTTGTGAGACCTGTGGCTGTGCCTGAATTCATGGCTGAGTGTATGCCACCCCTGGCAAATGTGTCTGAGCTGCACAGTGTCTGGTATGTCAGCCACACTAAGTGTGTTGCTGTCTGAGCCTATGACTGTGTCACCTTACAGTACCTTTGACATTTGTCACCTCTGGGTCTGGGTCTGGGATATTAGGGCCCTGTGTTGCTATGGTACACTAGATAATCAGGTATATCTATGATTGTTGTCCTTTGGGTATGTGACAGACCATCCAACATCTGTCACCCTGTGAGTGGCTATGACCATGGGTGGGTGTGTACCTATCCAGCTCTGGATGGCTGTGTCAGCCCTTGTGTCAGATGTTGAGCATGAATGTATGCCTGTCCTTGTGCTTGTGTCTCCACATGAGTTGCTGGGTGTGTCCAGACTTAGTGTCACACATTACTTGGCTGTGTTTGACACTTGTCTCATTTGGGTTGTGTGGTTGTGTCCCTCTGGACAGGTATTCTTTTTTTTTGAGACAGAATCTCACTTTGTCATCCTTGGTAGAGTGCTATGGCATCATAGCTCACAGCAACCTCAAAGTCCTGGGCTTAACCAATTCTCTTACCTCACCCTCCCAAGTAGCTGGGACTGCAGGTGCCCACCACAACACCCAGCTATTTTTATTTTATTTTTATTATATTTATTTATTTATTTATTTGAGACAGAGTTTTACTGTGTCCCCCTCGGTTTAGTACTATGACATCACAGCTCACAGCAACCTCAAACTCTTGGGCTCAAGTGATTCTCTTGCCTTAACCTCCCAAATAGCTATGACTATAAGTACCTGCCGCAATGCCTGGCTATTTTTTTATTGCAGTTGTTTAGGTGTATGTGGCTGGTGCCTAACCACTGTGCTACAGGCGCTGAGCCTATTTTTTTTTTTTTTTTTTTTTTTATTGAGACAGAGTCTTACTTTGTCACCCTTGGTAGACTGCCATGGTGTCATAGCTCACAGCAACCTCAAACTCTTGGGCTCAAGTGGTTCTCTTGCCTCAGCCTCCCAAATAGCTGGGACTACAGGCACCTGCCACAACACCCAGCTTTTTTTTGTTGTTCAGCAGGCCCAGGCCTTGTTCGAACCCACCAGCCCTAGAGTATGTGGCCAGTCAGTGCCTTAACCACTGAGCTATGGGCGCCCAGCCCCAGCTATTTTGAGAGGCGAGGTCTCGCTCTGGCTCAGGGTGGTCTTGAACTCCTGAACTCAGACAATCTATCTGCCTTAGCCTCCCAAGTGCTACGATTACAGGTGTGAGCTACCATGCCCAGCCTAGGACAAATGTTCTGTGTCATTATTACCAGGTGTGTCCAGGAGTGGCCATGGGTGGCCTAATGGTGTCCCTTTGTCCCTCCCCCTCAGGGAGCCATTTGTGCAAGCCAAGCTGCGGCCTGAGGATGGCCTCTACCTCATTCACTGGAGCATCAGCCATCTCTACCGCCTCATCCTCACAGTGGCCCAGCGTAGCCAGGTGGGCCTAGGGCAAGGTTTCTGGGCTGGGGCTAGGTACACTCCTTGCCTGAATTCCTGCTTACCACCTGCACCACCTGCACACAGGCCCCCGGCAATACACAGAGCCTGCGCCTCCGGAAGTTTCCCATTGAGCAGCAGGCTGGGGCATTTGTGCTGGAGGGCTGGGGCTGCCCCTTCACCAGTGTACAGGAGCTGCGGGCTGCCTTGCAGGGCTGTGTGCTGCGGGCAGGGGATGACTGCTTCTCCCTGCGCCGCTGCTGTCTGCCACAGCCAGGAGGTATGATGACAGGGATTATTGGGAGGGGTAGCATCTCTTCTCCATACCTGCCCTCGGTGACATCACTCCTGCCCCCAGAAATCTCCAATCTCATCGTCATGCGGGGGCCTCAAGCCATCAGCAGGTCACTCAACCTCAGCCAGCTCAGCTTCCACCGGGTTGGCCAGGACGAGATCACCCAGGTAGGTGGGGGACATGGGGGCTGGGGCCCTGGAGAGGTCAGCTGCCAACTGTCCTCATGGCAATTTCTGTGTTATGTTCCCACAGCTGTCTCACTTGGGCCAGGGCACAAGGACCAATGTGTATGAGGGCCTACTGCGAGTAGAGGGTGGGGACCCAGAGGAGGGCAAAGTGGATGGCAGAGACCCCCCAATGCCCTGCAGGAACTGTGGGCAGGAACTACGAGTGGTGCTCAAAGTATTAGACCCAAGTCACCACGACATCGCCCTGGTGAGTGGGCACAGCCTGGCCCTTGTGTCTACTGACTAGGGCATGGGGGCTGGATGGGAGGGGTCAGGTTTGCAGCCATCTGACCTGCCTTTGTACCCATAGGCCTTCTACGAGACAGCCAGCCTCATGAGCCAGGTGTCCCACGTGCACCTGGCCTTTGTGCACGGCGTCTGTGTGCGTGGCTCTGAGAGTAAGTGGGCCCCATCACACCCAGGCCCCTTTTCTAGGCCAGCCTCCCCACTTGTACCCATTCCTCAGGTGGTACCCCCACCCTCAACTTACAGCCACCCCACCTATGACTATTTCTCTACTCTCTCCTACACTGTTGCCTGGGCTACACCTTGACTTTCAGCCTATACGTGAAGCCCTCCCTATATTCCAGGCCTTAACTTATATCCCTTGACCTTACCATACCCAACTTTTGCCTACACCCTGATTACTGGCTATGCCCTGATTAACATCTGCCACCTGCATACCTGCACAACCCAACCCCTGTCCACCCTCTGACCCCATCAGCAGTAGTGCTCTGGGATGACCCCAGCCCTGTCAGACCTGCATATACCATATCTAATCCTACTGAAAGCCCAGCTAGGGGTACCTCAACTCTGTGTGGACCCCAAAATTTGTCACCTTGTACAGGCAACTCCAGACCTACTGTCCCTCAACCCCACATGTGGACATTTCTCTTACTTTAACCTTGGCACTGACCATGCCCCGACCCTGCCTATTCTAGAATCCTTTTTCATTTTTTTTTAGACAGAGTCTCACTGTGTCACCCTTGGTAGAGTACTGTGGCATCACAGCTCACAGCAAACTCAAACTCTTGGGCTTAAGCGATTCTCTTGCCTCAGCCTCCCAAGTAGCTGAGACTACAGGCACCCACCACAACTCCCAGCTATTTTTTGTTGCAGTTGTCATTGTTGTTTAGCTGGCCCGGGTCGGGTTTGAACCCACCACCCTTGGTGTATGTGGCTGGCGAGTTCAAACCTGCCAAGCTTCTAGAATCCTTTTTGGGTTGTTTTTTCTTTGTGTGTGTGAAGGGTCTTACTCTGTCACCCAGGCTGGAGTGCAGTGGTGCAATCACAGCTCACTCTAGCCTTGAATGCCTAGGCTCAGCGATCCTCCTGCCTCAGCCTTCTGAGTAAGTAGTTGGGTCTATAGGTGCATGCCACCATGCCTGACTTATTCTTTTTTTTTTTTTTTTTTT